TTTATTTTTTATGGCTCACTGAACTTTTCTCTTCACTCGTTTAACGAACATTGGACAATTTGACTTAAGTGAGCTACAAAGAAGTACTTTAATAAAACATAAATTATATTTAATAAAATTAAAATATGTATAGACATAACAAAATAACTAAATCTATTCCAAATTATGGATGAGAGTCGCACGCTAATAAGAATATATAATTATTATAAAATAAAAGTCGACGCTTGTTATCGCTCCGTACATGTGCTAGTCTGTGACGGAACGTTCAACGCTATGAGTCTATTCTCATGCTTCTTACATGGAGTTTTATTGTTCTGTTTTTCTTTAGAATTAATTGTTAGTAATAAATTCAAACTGCACATCACCTACTTATTAAATCGCCCATTAGTTAATGTGCAATTTAAGGAAGTTTAGAGCAGTGATTGTTTTTTTTTAGCTTCCAATAAAATCTAAACTTACTTGCAGTTATATATTCTTTATTACTAAGGCTTAAGAAACCGTTCACTCTTAATGAACTCAGTATGAAGACGAGAAAAGCCACTAAAGTGAGCGAAGAACCTTGTTAAATTGAAAGTATATTAAACGATCGTCGATAGCCGATATTCAGATGATGGATGCTCTTTGGGGATTATTCAATCAGGCGCTAAAAACTTACTCTTCATTGCCACTACTATTGGTAGCCGCTAGGCGACTACAAATAAAACGAAAAACTAAATTTATTATTAAAAAGATTGATTGCGCGTCGATGCGCAGATGGATGTTTATACATGTGTGAATTCGCCGGCAGTTCGCAGTGCGTAGATTGCTTAAAGTGCGGGGTCAATTGTCAAAAGGCACCCATATTTAAAAAAAAGACGCGGCGCGCGAGGAACACGCGGATCGCCGCGCAAATTAGAGCACAGATCTCAACACGCATTGTTTGATAAGCATTTGTATAAAATAAGATTATTTTTATTTTATATCTTATTTATGCGAACACACAATCTACAAAACGTTTTGTTGTTTGGAGAATCGTAATATTTCAAGGCCAGATGCAGTATTTGTAAAGATTTGTTTTTTGGCTCACAAAACTTTTGTCTTCTATTGCTTATCGAACAATGGACTATTTAGCTTAAGTGAGCTACGCAGAATTTGCTGTAGCAAACATGACTACACGTGTGACAAAGATCGATGGAACGATGTATGATAGGTTTAATAGAATAGATAAAATAAAGAATACATTATTAGAAATAATAACTAAGGCCGCAGATGTTACAATAAAAATAAATAACATAAATTGCCGTCTGGCAATGTGAATGTCCATGGGCGGCGGTATCACTTTACATCAGGTGAGCCTGCCTGTTTACCCCATGTTACATTTGAAAAAAATCTCCGTAGTCTGAGCTAATCCCCGCTTACCTTATGCCAGTTTCAGGGTCAACAGAGACTTGGTAGTTCTCCGGATGCAAAGTCAACAGAAGGTCCAACACAGGGGTTTAATGACCATAGCAGAGCCAATCAGCAAAATAGGCAACATTTTATCTATGCACGCTATTTACACTTCAGTAATACAGAAATACAGTACAATTAAAATAATTGAACGAAAAGGAGGGCAACTGGCGGCCTTATCGCTTTCGAGCGATCTCTTCCAGGCAACTACTGTGAGAAAAACATTAAATTAGATAAGGTGAGCGCAAGAAGTGCATAACTAATGGAACAAAAAAAAGCAATTAACATATAGGTATGTTAAGAATGAAAGGGACATCAATAAAAAAGGGTCACATAAAAAAATGTCTTAGTACTGTGATAATAACAACGTAATCACCATATGCTGATGAACTTGAAGAAGTGTTATGACCCCACTGGCGGTACGACCCAAATTGAGACACATGAATAATGAAGAGAACATAATCATGTGCCTAAAACTCGTTTTTTTTGTGTAAATAATACTTATTTGTAATTTCTATGTACTGTGTATTTTTAAGCATGCACATAAATAAATAAAAAACGTGTGTGTACTTATGTACACGCGTTAGATGTTATACTTATTCGGCGTAACAAGATAAAAATCTTTTCAAAACTTTTATCTTTCGCCTTATTTTACGCTTGAAGAAAAACCTAAAACGTTGACTATAGCTAACTTCAGGGAGTCGGTTTTTTGTGACGGTGTGCACGCGCATTTTTAAAATTTATTCTCATCATTTTTCCCTAACGCGCCAAAAGAATTATAACTTCAATAAATCGGTGCTGTATACGTGTACAACACCGTAACATATTACATGGGTCTTGACTGCAACATGCGGTCCGTCTATGGCCAGCTTAAGAGTTAACCTATTTTTAAGTAGAATTCGAGAAATCATAGTAACGTAAGCCTCTTATGAAAACGTCTGTCCGCCGACGGACATTCGGGAGTGATTTATCGTGATTCACTCAATATTTAAATGATCTTCCACAAATCTTCTACATACATAATCAGTAGGCACCACGAGCCTAAATTTATTTGGTAAAAAATGGTCAAAATTTATTTGGTGTGTACTTCTTTGTAGGCTTCATTACTGAAGGTCGTGACTGTCTTGACACATCGAATGCTGCCACCACATTGCACTATCCACTTATCTCAGGGCCTGTTGTTGTCTTGGTACTGGAGCACTGGAGAAATGCATTTGGTTATTATGCTATGAGATATTATCTTTTTTTTATCTTTGGAAGTTACTGAACCCTTGGTTACTAGAGTGACTCCAATTCTGGACGGAGACAGAGTAGAGGCCCTGATTTTAATATTAACAGGTTGACTATCCAAACATGAAAGTGCAAATGCCCCTCTCGTTCAGTTGCGCTTTTGTGAAAAATACTGACCAATTTTGACACATTGTTTCATCTCACCTCACTAGAAAAAAAGTTTTGTTGTCCTGTAAAGTCCGCGCCATATACGCAACTATCCCCGTACGTCCACAACTCCAAAATGCCTAGAAGTTGTTCCTGCAAGCAGACCACATGTGGACTGTGAACGGGTAGAGCTTTCCGTTTACAAAGTCAATCTCAAAATCATTTATTCATTTAGGTAACATAATGTACACTTATGAACGTCAATAAAGAAATACATATTAAAATGCTTCTAATTTTCATTTAGATACTGTCACTTCTCAAATCAAGGGCGTAGAAGGGACGAGAAGAACTGGCAATAAACTCCGCCACTCTTTTTAATCGCTAAGTTTTTTGTTTTAACCAATGTTTGTAAACATTGCGCTGCATTGATCTGCAACCGTTACGCTGCATTGAGCTGCAACCATTACACCATGTTTCAAATGACATCTTAAGTAAAAAAAATAATAAAAACAAAGATTTGTCCCCTATCAGAAGTAGGCATGGTGAAATAGGAGCACGCACTTACATTCTCGTGGGAACAACACGCAAATACATAGTCTAAATAACTAACATCACCGCATACACGAATTCAAGTTCGAGCAGTCACCAGAAGTAGCACTCGTTCACGACACGACACGTTCAGCACCCTCGCCATATTTTAGTAAGAGAGACAACCCTACGCATGGACGGCGCCACAAGCAATGACATTTAAGCGAGCATGACGATAATTGAAATGTGAACTTGGCTACATAAGAAAATAATAATAATACTAATTATACTGAAATAATTTGATATCACATGGATCACGGTTTGACCTCAGACGTACATACGACCTCATATTATGGTCTATGGAACGTGAACCTGTTAAGCTTGCTTTTGCACTACGCAATCCCATGTGGGAATGTGGCTAATTCGCACTAGTGATAATGAAAGACTATCAAATTGGTTTCGTCTTGTAGGTTCATCATGCTAATAATGATTTAAGACACTTTTTTTCTAGAATAATGACGAAACCCAGAGAATATTAAACACATTGTAAAACTAATCTCTTTATAAATAATTTAATTTATTAATAAATTATTACTAACCCATTATCAAGAACTTTCAATTTCCGGACGAAGCCTCAAATAATGAATCAAGACAACGTATTAAAATAACATTTTAACGAAAAGCCAATACGGGAGAAACAAATAGCTACTAATCATAAAAATAATCAATGAAGCAGACTAAGAAGGGTTCTGACTAGAATCAGGCCATTGTTTTTTTTTTTATAATAAACACTTATTTTGCATTTATATACTATGATATTTAATAACCGTAATATATTAAATATGAAGAGATAAATTATATTTATATATTTTATATTAGATTACTTAAATATTGAATAACAGACTTAAAAAGATATATTTTAGATTTTACAAAAATCAAAAATTTAGTTTAATAACGTTTAAAATATGCATAATATCTCCTTATATATATAAATATTAAAAAGTTGGCACCCATGGAATATTTTTTCTTACGATATTTTTTTTTATAATTTTCATGCTTCTATTATCCGTGAGAAGCTTATAAATTAGAATAAGAACTAAACGCTTTAAATAATGTGCATGCAAGTTATACTATACCGGCAGCAAAATCATTAAAACAGTCAACTAGAATAACCTGTAAATGTCAGTGCACCCAAAAACTCAGTCACAGTACAAGTTTAGTTCAATTGTCAAAATTTACAAATAGACCAAAGATAATGTTGTATAAAAATTAATTAATCACAATCTTTGTGAAGCGACAATAAACATACATAATTAAATTTTCATTACTACTTCCGTAGTACAGTTTACACATCTTGAAAATTTATGCGTTATCTGTAGAAATAGACAATTTTGACAACTGACATTGAATAGTATTACAACTTCCGGTTGCATTTTGTACGGCTCATGGAGGGTGAGAACGCGTCGCTTCTGCCGCCATCTTGCTCTCTTGTCTATAAATTGGAATAGATCATCTTTATGGCAAAGGTCCGTAGATAATTTTTTACTCTTTGGATTTCTTGCATAGTTTGGTCTCTGATTCTATTGATATTATGACTGTCAAAACAATGGATCTTCAAGAAATTAACAACTATTTTACAGAATTACCCGATGAAAGTGTAATATTCGATGTCTTTTGAAATGGAAGCCTGGTTGAATGTGTGCCGATGTTGTCTTACACCAGACGCAGCAGTGTCAATTCTAGACAGCAATGAAAATATTAAAGCGAAGTTTCTTGAGGCCACTGCTATAGAGGTAATTAACAAACTTAACTGTATAAATCCAATATTTTATGCGTTTAATATCATTAATTACGTTTTTAAAGTAAATATTCATGTCATTAACCTGTGTTGATATTTTTGGTTGATAACTTCCTGTGTCAGAAAGTTTGTCAATTTATTAAATTTAAGGTTAGGTATAAGTGCTCATTTGACATTTCAAACGGCGCTAAAATTTCATATTTCTAAGGCTTACAAAATATAACAATTTAGGTATGTTTGAATGTTATTTTATAATTTTATCAAAGTAATAAGTAATATTGAAATGATTATCACAGTAAAATTAATTATTAAGCAAATTTGACTTTATAAAAGTCATACATAGTATATGCTTTGAAATTAAAGAAATTTGACAAAGTCTACAAAAGATATAATTATATTGTATAAATTTTCAGGTTAGTCCTTATGACAAATTACCACAAAGGCTTTGCAATGATTGCATGGCTGTACTAAACACAGCCCATGATTTTCGCACTCAATGCCAAAAAATGGACAAGGAACTTAGAGCACAACTTATTTCTAATCACCCTCAGGTAAAGGTTGAATATGTGCCACCAAATGAGAAAGAGGTTAGTGAAGATGTTACAGAGGAATGTATGAAGAAATTGCAATCAATTATTAAATCAGAACCTATGGATGATGACGACTGCTATTATGTTTTAGTAATTGATGATAAGGATGATTCTACCAAAACAACATACAAGCCACAAACAATAAAAATGGAAGTTACGGACACTGACAATAATGATAAAGAATTTGAGGACAACATAGTACACCAAGAAACAATTCAAGATTTTGGAGATCAAATTGATTTAGAGAACACTATTAATTCTTTTCTTCTTTCTAATAATAAAGTACCAACTAGTGTTCCAGCTACTATATTAGAAAATGAAGAAGGGCATGAGACAGAAGTTGTATTGAACAATAATATTGAAAATTGTAATATTGTAGCGGACAATACCTATAGTAAATCCCCCAAAGTCACTATTGCGGATGGTATAAAAGAATTTAATCCAAAGAACTTGATCAAAATTGTTACTCCATATGGTGTTGAAAAAACAATCTTATTAGAAAATGAGGATGTCAACTATAATGCAGAAAATCAAGAGGAATCATATAATAATGATGAAGAAGTATCACAAGAAGAAATAATACTGTGTGAAGGTGATGATACTTCACAATTTCAAATACTAAAGGTAGATGGGTCTGAATTTGTGATTGAATATGCCGATGAGGGACAAATAACAACAGTCCTTCAACAGGAAGATGGCACCTTCCTCTGTGATTGTGGTGAACAATTTGATGATATACAGCAATTTCAAAAACATCAGTACAAACATAATCCAGCTGGTGAACATCTATGTAACTTGTGTGGCAAAGGTTTTGAATCAGCTGAAATATTGACAGGACATACTTTACTTCATAGATCTAGTGGACCCTTAGTAGCATGTCCATTCTGCAGTCAACTCATAAGGCGCAATGCTTTAACGCAACACATTAAGTACACACATAATTCAAAACCTCAATGCACTGTATGCAATAAAACATTTGCTAATCAAAATAATTTAAAACGTCATATGATGATACACAGTGGAATAAAGGAATTTGAATGTGATATTTGCTTTAAAAGATTTAACCAAAAGATAACTATGCAGACACATCGGCTAACCCACATAAATTCTACCACCTGTTACCTATGTGACACTATATTTGAAGATCGGGCAGCATTGGCCCATCATAAAGAGGCAAATGAATGCCCAAAATCTAAGGTAAAAAATGTCAGGGATGAGTTGATAAAAACCGTTCGTCAGACAGTAACTACAAACCTTGGTAAAGTACTAGGCTATGCTTGTTCATTATGCAAAAAAATGTTTTCTCTTGAATCAGCTTTAGACCAACACATTGAAAGCACTCACATAGTTGATGAAATAGACATAAAAAAAGAAGATAAGCAAATGAAACGTTTTGAGTGCTCAATGTGTGGAAAACGTTGTGCAAGTCAAGCAATGCTCATAATGCATGAACGGGTACACACAAATGAAAGACCATTTCCTTGCCAGTTATGTACGTTGAGGTTCAAAACTAAAACACATCTAAGGACCCATCAATTAACACACACACGAGAAAAGAAATTTGGCTGTTCTGTTTGTATGAAGTTCTTTGCCCTTAAAGGGAACCTGGTAGTACATTTGCGAACACATACCGGTGAAAGGCCCTATGTATGTTCATTGTGTAATGAAGCATTTATAGACTCAAAGTATTTGAAAAAGCATAAGTTACGAAAGCACTCTATTGAAAATGCAGTATGGAATGAATATTAGAGGTATTGTTAAAAGATGTACATTCTCATAAAACATATCAGGATATGCATTAACTTTTAGTTATTAGTCTAGATAACAATTCAAAATATTGTTAGTTGTTGGTATTTTATAATATATTGAGAGTACCTAAAATTTACAAATTGATTTGTAATAAAATGTGATGGAGAAAAGGGCAGTCAAGTGTTTTAATTGTGTTTACATATTTTGATATTTTAACTTAAATACTTATTCTATAAGTTTCCTTGCCATATTCAAAATTTTATTGCTCAAACTATTTTTTATGTTTGTAAATGTCTGTCTTGCTTAAATTATGACGTATATTAATAGTGTTCAACACCAGATGCACCTGAATATACTATATTACTTCATGATACTATATTAAATAATATAGTAAATTATATAAACAAGAAACTTGAAGTTCTCCAATTAGATAACAATATGTGAACACAAATGACAAGCAGGTGCATGGCATTGCCCTACCAATTTGTTTTTTTTTTTTATTGTCTTAGATTAACTCTCAACATATTATAATTTTGTCTTCTATTTGAAGTATTTTGCTAATTCAAATTGTTGTAATTATATATTGAGAAGTCTGTTTAAATTTCGATTAATAAAATTGATTTTAATGAAACTGCTTTAACAATATAATAAGTCCGTTTGAAAGAAAATTTTAGAATGTGTTTAATTTTTTTGTGAATGAATAAAATAGGACATAAATACTGCCAAAAACCTAGTTAAAAGTAAAAAATGCAAATGTACAGTTTTCTCATACCGTTATCTCATTTTTATTACAGATGTACCTAGAAAGTAATTATTTAGTTATAACTAAGGTATTTTAATTTGTATTGTTTGATAGCATTAGTTAGTATTTGTCTGTGTTCAACACAAATAGTAAAAGAATTAACATAATTTGTGTTATTTATTTCCTGTCATACAATTATGGTAAGGAGGAAAGTTGCTACACTTTTAAAAAAGTGTAAAATTTTATTAAATATTTGTGATAAATATTACATTTTTCATTATTTTTTTTAAACCTTATCCCAAACTGCTGGTTGATCGCTTTAATGGTATTAAATAAATAATTCCCTAGGAACGGAGATCGCTCTGTCCCGTCGAACTATCGTCCAAAAGCCATAACTTCCTTGTTCTCCAAAATAATGGAAAGAAATCAATGGTCAGCTCCTAGAGTATCTAGAGGGCCACCAGATCATAAGCGATTGTCAATAAGACTTTAGGCTTTTTATACGGCCACACAAATGAGCAGATGCGCTAGGGGTCAGATTGCATTTAGCGAAAGCCTTCGATCGGATGGCATAAAGCGTTTCTCTCGAAGAAAAATTCCATGGCTCCATCTAGTAACTGCTGAAAGTATTCCTTCAGATTTTATTCGTTACGAGATGGCAGTCACAGCGAAACAGAGCTACTAGAATAAACTCGCTAATCTATCGCCCGCGAGATGGCTATATCTTGGAGAATAAATATAAATTGTAGTTCAAATCTAAAGTAAAATAAAAATAGTTTTATTATTTAAATCTTTTGACTTCATTGATTCCATTAAATAATAATTTGTATCATTACTTTATATACTAAAACTACATTTGTTATAAATATGTTAGTTTAGTAAGCCCGCAATTTTATCGTTAAATCACTACTTAGTTATTTATCACTACATGACTAATAATTAATTATTTTAATAATTTTACCATCTAAAAGATCCAAATATCTTTTTTCTCCTTCCACTTATTAATTAATTACCCATCTAAGTGTTATGATCAAAGTACGTAGCCACAAGCGTTGTATGTCTTTTATTCGGTGTGGCAACGCCTGAAACACTTTCTATGCAGCATGTACAAGTACCGGGGCGACAGGAGGTATAAGTAGGTGTTTATATGCGGTAGGTGAGGTTACAGAGTGCACGGGACGCCACGCCATGTCGATGTCGACCCGCCGCGCCTCGGTGAATCATTGTGTGGATACTGCAATTGAGTTTATTGATACTTTTGTTATTTTACACATTTTCTGTCTATTATTTAACAGTCAGTACATCTCTATATTTATTTAGAAAATAAATAGATTAAATACAAATCATATTTAAAAAAGCACTCTTTAAAATTTATTTCTGCCCGGCGTTAGTCTAAAATTATAGTCACTAATTAAGTCCTTTTAATTTTTCTTTTAGTATTATTAATATTTAGGCTCTAGTAGCTCTCAGCGCTCTTTATGATGATCCCAGTCTTATACTTAGGTGCCGTTCAAGTCGTACGTAAGCACTATAGGGGGGGAGGGGGGATTTAGACGGTGATTACGTCAGTAGTAATTATTTTCTTTTCTACAAATATGACATGAAAATGAAATCCATTTTCGGCGATTCCTAGAAATAATGAATACGTATACTCGCTTGGAACTAAGTAGGGGTAGTAGCGTGTAATTATTTTCCGTTAATGTCATCTAAAACTTAGAATCATGGATTCGGGTGTCATGGAGCTTTGCTTACGTTTGTTATTAAGGGGGGAAGGGGGATAAATAATTGTAGTAAATCTGCTTACGTAATACTTTCGCTCCTTAATTACCATAGTATTGGCTTGTTAAAGTGAAATCTTACAAAAATAATAAAAATTTTGTTTAAATTAAAAGTATCACAACTGATCCGTTACGTTATAGTCGGCAGCTCGCAAGCGGTGAGTGGCGCTCGCTCGGCTGCTTTGTTCCCGGGCTGGCAGGCGGCAACCGGCGCGGTTCTTAGGGCTGACACATTTTTTTGTTACGTTTAATTTACACGGTAATAATGATAGCTTTAGAAATTACGAAATTAAAATTATGTTAAACTTAATGAAAATATAGATAGTTACTAGGTTCCAAACTATAAAATAGTGTTTAAGTCTATGCTTATTATAAAACTCGGGTATTAAAAGTACACATGTTTCAACAACCCGCATAATTATATGTGACATAGTATTAATATAGTATAATAAATTTATTCGATACCCCGTTAACATTTTACTAACGTCCAAGTTTGAAAGTTTTCGTCGAACACAGCGCCCATTACCAGGCTTTGTATATTATTACTTAAAAATTGGAATGGAATTAATGGAGGGAATAAATTAGACAAAATAAACATACAGCTTTAAGAAAAACAACTATTAAAGGTAGCAGATGTTACAACAAAAATAAATAAACTAAAGAGGTAATAGGTGGGGCAGATGGCAAGAGAAACAGAAAAGTACTAAACTGGTGTCAAGGCAACAAAACGAAAAAGAGGGAGACAACGTAGAAAGTGGATTGACCAAACTAAAGAAACAGCAGGTTACATAGCAGAGAGAGGTACAGTGCACACAGATACCTAAAAGAAGATTGATATATAAACGTGTTTAAATGTAAAAGTATCTAAATCATTATATTATTACTACTTATAAAGAAATACTACCAAACAGAACAAATTAAGAATGAGACGTAAACCAGCAATCTATAAATGATAGTAAGAGGATAGAAAATAATGATAAAATTTAATATTTATTGGCAACCCTGGGCAGGCGGGCCGATAGCAATATCGCTGAGTGCGACGGGCGGCAAGCGACCGAGTCTCGCCTAATTTACTTCGCAGCGCCCCGCACCGCTACGCCTGGTAACGACGCTCCTGTAACTTTGCTTTGTTAAAAAAAGGTGTTAATCTAAAACATAGTTTGACAGTCTGGACATCATCTGTGGCTAATTCTGGTCATAAACAATGATTTTCAACCCAAAAAACGTCTTTATCTGCGATTTCTAAGCATTTTTTTTAATGAACAATTTCCCTAAGTTGACCCTGAGTTGTATTGGGTCGGAACTTTTTCGCAGTTACTAAATGATTACTAATTTATTTTGTATAATATATGCTATATATTTATATATAACGTACCTAAGATTTCTTAAGCGTCTTTGAATATATATGTAATAACTTAAAAAACCATTGGGCAGAACTTGGAGTACGAATGTAGCAAATATTAAGGAATCAACAATACCTCTATCAAGCGTACTCAAGCGAGTCGGTATCACAAAGTGTTCGCCAATTTGCGATATGTGCATTCAATAATTTTGTATGCAACTGCGGTAGACGTCTGACTATGCATTTTTATTTTTATCCTTCTGTGAAAAACCACAGTAAAATTTAATAAGAATATATATAAATTATTAATAAGAATATATATAAATATATATTCCGCTGTTTCATTCGAAGTTATTCGGATAAGAATCTAAGATTAATTAGCGGTCCTTGAAGAAAAGAACGTACCCCTTCTTACAAGGCAGGCATCGCAGAGCCCTGTGGCATTGAGTGTCCATGGGCGGTATCACTTAACATCAGATGAGCCTCCTATCCGTTTGCCCCCGTTCTATGAAAAAAGGCATTAATTAGGGATGATTTTGAGTGCGTACGTACTTTATTGTATTTATTTTATTTAGACAACTTACAGTAACTATATATACTAAGCTAATTGGCATTCTTTGGTATATATCGTATATATATAATATATATGTATTATAACAAACAATGAAGTAAAAAATCGGTAATGATGTCTCATTTTAAATAATTTTTATGGGAATCAAAATATTCGTAATTTTTACTTGTAAAAAATGTAAGTAAGTACCAGAATATCAGAAACAAGAGAGTATGTGAGAAAGCTGAGTACTGCGCACAAAAAGTTGCCTAGTGGCGAAATGAAATATATCTGCAGCAAGCTTTGCGGATAAGCCGGCGGGCGGGGGCCGGGCCGCTAGGTGTCGCTGGCGATAGTGATGGGCACGTTCTCGACAATAATAAATAGGCACATTTATTTACCCAAAGGCTTCGATAAAAATTACATAACCAAATGCAAAATAATTAACAAAGATTTACGACGAACGGCCTACCACAGTAAAGTATAATACATACTTACAAATATCGGTGTGGCTGTCCGTAACCTGTTCTCAAACCTCAAAAGAATGCTCGCTGGACAGATATTTTGCGATGATGAAGAGGTAAACGCCGAAACTGATGCCAATGAGGCTAAAGACAAATGGTACTATAAAAATGTACCACACTCGAAGATTAGCCTATGAACTTTTCTGCCCACCTATTATGTGTATATGTGTGTGGTTGCAACTCCTAACAAACATTGTGTAAAACAAAAAACTTCGCGATTAAAAAGAGTGCCGGAGAGTTTATTGCCAGTTCTTCTCTTCCGTTCTACGCCCTTGATTTGAGAACTGGCAGTAAATGTAAAATTAGAAGCATTTATTATGTATTTATTTTTTTGTCATTGTGTACATTGTGTAACCTATATGAATAAATGATTTTGACTTTTACTTTGTGCGTTTGTAAGAGAATGTGTGACTATTGGCGCACATAAAAACATAACTTTCTTAATCGTGTTAACCGTGGTGCATTTTCACTGAGGTCCTGCACCAATGTCTATATTTTCTAAGTGCAAAATCCACACTGATATTATGTATCTATTAGAAATTCTAAAAGATGCTTTAACTTGTCCGCTCCGTTACCCATTGTAAGGGCGTTTCTTTCGTTAGATCAGAATGTCAGAAGTCATTCCTCTGTAGTCTTTATTACATTTTCTCAAACTATTATTTACAGTTGAATCATTTTGTACGTGATTCGGTCTAATGAATCTAGTTTCTAATTAAATTCCGTCGATAATTTTATTAAAATATCGACAATAAAGCACAACCCTAGAAGCTGGAAAGTGTGGTCGGAGCTTGAACGAAGCGTCGACGGGACGCATTAGTGAGCTCGGTTTGATTGTATCATATCGCTATATACACATATATATATAAAATATGCTATGTATTTTTGTACGTAACGTAATGTTCACACCAGGGTGGCTACTATAAACTTTGTTCACAGCAATTCTTGGCAGGGCCATATTTTAACATTCTACCATAACGTTATTCGTTATAATAAAGCAAATAAAGAGGTCCTAGGTTCAATACCCGACTGTGCACGTATGGACTTTCTATGTGCGCATTTAACATTCGCTCGAACCGTGAAGGAAACCATCGTATCTAACTAAAATCAGATACAGAAATTTGAGGCCCAGACGGCCAGGCCCATACGTTGTAGTCACTAATTTATTTTATTTATTTAAAACGTTATTCTGACCTTCTTCTATCGTTTATTAGCAATATCGTACAGAATACAGAATAATTATTTAAAAAAATTGTCGCTTTTCCGCCGATTTCGGGAATTTTAATATTAATATTAAATACACGACTAGAATATAAGTTACGGTCCTCGCAATTTGAGAGCCGCAACGTTTCTACTGCAACTTTCTAAGATGAAATAAACATCTGCTTAATATATACCATCCTAGTACATTATTCATCTCAACTATGAACCACTCGAAGAGATGTTTTTCTAGTTTATCCCCAGCATCCTTGATTTGTCGCTGGTTACGTCTCTCTGAATTATTATCTCCTAGTACGTGGAAGTCATTTTGTCGTATGTGCATTTAGGCCAATGCGGGCTGGGGCATGGCTGGCTGGCGGCTTTCTTAAAAAGCAAGCAAGTTTCTAAAAAATAATTGATAAAAATATGATCGGTATAAAATAATAAATTATTCCTGATAATAAGTTATTGTTGATTAGTGATTGATTATGATTAACAAGCTAGCTAGACATCAGGAAGCTGCATATCTCTGATCGAAAGCAAATAAATAAATAGAAACATACAAAATTGTGTGTTCCAGTTTACAAAACGCAAAACTTAGGTAGTGTAAATCTCGAAAACAACTTTATTTTTCTGCTACATTCCAAATCTACTAAATAAACTAACATTATGAATTTATATTCTTATTTATAGCTCTGATTTAAAACAAATATTTAAACTTTAAAAACGTAAAGTAATTTTCTATGAAAATCGGCTGATGATACGAACATTGTCACATACAAAGCGCCCGCGCATGTCGCAGTTTATGTAGATCGCTTATACACTCATGATCGCCTGGTAGAATGCGCATAAATCGCGCAAGCGCGTTGCCCGCGCACACGTAGCCTGAGCGCGCGCGCACATAATAAATATAAACTTTTAAAATGTAATATGTTCCCTGATATGATTTTGAATCTTATTTTGAAAGTAGTAAAGTGCAATTTATTTGTTTTAATATTTTCTGATTGTGCCTCCTACTTTATAACTTGGAGTTTCACCAAGGTGATGTTGGAAAGATTAAATAGTCAAAAGTTTATGTATTTTATTTCTAAGGGTCCATATCACAATAATTCCTAATCTAATTGTAATAACAGTCAGTTAGTTATAAGTTTCGGCTGGTTGCAGAACAAAGAAAGAAGAAAGAGATCCACATCGGTGTTCTTTTTCCTTAAAACTTGATTCTCTAATTTATTTAAAATTTTCCATTTAATTAATACAAATAAGAAAACACTACCAAATTAGGTTTTAATTTATTTTAAAATAGTACTCATAAATAATTTATAATATATATAATAAATAATATATTTTTTGAATCGTGTATAATAATACTGATTAAAAATCATAATATACTTATTGGTAGATATATATGTACTTTAATTACAACTATGCAACTAATTTAAAGGATTTCTAAATTATTTCATTTATTTTTTAGGCAGCCATAGAATTTCTATATAATATTTAATGCTTATTGCTGCATTGAATTGCTTACGTGATTAATTTAAATTATTAAATATGTACGTATAGATATAAATTTAACACAATACATAAAATATACATTGTAATGTAATGCTATGTGCAAACAAATATTTATTAATATTAACTACATAGAAAAAACACTACGATATAATATATGGTTCGCAACAGTGGACATTGCTTGATAATTCCTGTCCATACTAAGTTCTTGACTAATTTATAAGCATCGTTATCGCTCACATAATATTACCGGGCGCGAGAACCGGCCGATTGTTTTGCGGGCAATTAACACCGCACCGCACGTGCCGCGGGCCCATCCCAAAGAGGCAGAGACATCAGACGCCAGCTACAATACATAGAGGATAAAATACCCAGTGTTCAGCTTCAGTTTACCGCGTGCGCGCTACGCCAGCGGTCGTGTTGGAGGGGGTGGATCGCTCGCTCGTTCGAATTTCGAATTTGACGATCGCCGATTATTTATTCTTGATACTTTAATTTTTTTTTTAAATCTTTACGACCCAAAAACTTTTTTACTGCGGGACGGTTATGATGCGAAATTTAAACGTTTAGGATAAAGTGTGAATAGTAACGTATTATTTGGTTGTCTGTCAACGCTCAAACGACTCCATCATCGCGAAGTTTCCAACCGTCCCCGGTAGATTGATAAGAACTTTCCAGTCAAAAGTTCTCGTTCACAAAGTTGTCCTAAACTTTGCCCGTCCCCAACTTTACCGAAACAATTCTAAGAAAGCCGCAGGGATACGAGTCTAATTAAATTCTTGTAAACAAAAAGTAAAAACCATCGTTTTGCTGTGCAGTCAAGTGCAATGTTTATACTGTGAAGCAGTGTAGTGACATTATCAAAATGGCTGCGGCCATGATAAAGGACCGTGGACTGCGTAAAAAATTAACCCAAGAAGCTATACCAGAAAAAACACCCAAAAAGCCATCTAAACGCAAATCGACACCCAGTAGCTCGAAAAACGAAAAGAAAAACGAGCAAAACAACAATAAAAGACCCAAGATCCAGACGGGCGATCCGAAACTTGATTTGTTTTCGACTTACCAGCCGTGGGTCATTCAAACTTATGGTGACTTGGCCAAAACAAAAACAATCACTTTAAAAAAATACGCCAGGATTCTTAGAACTCTCCGCGGAGAGGAGTGCAACAGTTCTGACAGTTCCAAGTTCCGGTTTTGGGTTAAAGCGAAGGGGTTTCATGTTGGGAAGCCTCCCGGATATGATCCGAAGCCGGCCGACAGCATTGTATGCAGATACAGCGTCGCTGATGCTGAAGGATGTACTAGGGGCACAGAAGGCCAGGAAGTATACAGTGGCTCTCAAAATGATCCGCCACTTTACATCCCGACTCCACCTTTGAAGGTGAGTGCTTAAAATGTTAATTAATATAACTATGAGCTACCTACTACAAAAAATATATAACGCTATATTATGTTTAAGGATAATAAATAATATTTAATATGAAACTTTAACAACAACTGGCATACATTACCTACTAATTACATATACTAAATACATATCTAAGCTAAAATAAAAAATACTTACAACCTATGAACAAGTAACATTCATTTGGTAGTGACGTCATTTAATAATTGATAAATCTTACAAAAACCATTCATATTTACGAAAAACTTAACCCGATTTTTGCTTAGTGGGCAAATTGTTGGCAATGATTTTTTTTCTTGACCTTACCCTTTCTCAGATCTAGATCGAACTACCAAGAATACATAACCATCTAAGATAATCTCCAATGGCGTTCTTGTCATTTGACAAGTAAGTTTATAGAATAATGGTGTTTATTTCAATAAAGTTTAGGTTTAAAATCCCGTACATTAAAATCTGCAAAACGTGATCAAAGATGAACAGGTGAAATGCTTGTGGTGTCATTAGCACTTGTTTGTGATGCAAGACGTATGTTATTTTCAAATACTGCACAGATATCTATTATTTATATAAAAAAAAGTATCAAATTATCAATACATCATTCGAAATTCGAATTTATATACGCAGCCCTATGTTCGAAACCAAGGAAAAAAACACGTCTGCCACTTGCAGGGTAGGTTTTAGCTTTCCTAGGTATGGAGCAGTGTTGGCCTTGTGGCTTCAGCGTGCTACTTTCATCCCTGAGGTCGTAGGTTCGATCCCCGGCTGTGCACCAATGAACTTTCTTTCTATGTGCGCATTTAACAGTCGCTCGAACGGTGAAGGAAAACATCGTGAGGAAACCGGCTTTAGACACAAAAAGTCGCCGGCTTGTGTCACAGGAGGCTGATCACCTACTTGCCTATTACGTCGACAAATGATCATGAAACAGATTCAGAAATCTGAGGCCCAGACCGAATAAGGTTGTAGCGCTATTTATATATTTAATTTATGTGGTATATTAATAGTAATGAAAAAGATTTCGACTTTAAAATTGTCGTGAAGGTTTTATTTCCTTTGTGTGTGCATTCGATTTAATTTTTCCGATTTTACGAGTTCACGATAAGAAAACAACTAGCTCGATAAGGTCTTTTAAAACATTCATTTCGCATACATTTTCCTATTTAAATGTCATTGATTAAAAAATCTTTCAATTTGATTTTATACCTACTTGGTGTTTGGTAATTTAGAGTCGATACTTAGCGCTCCCTTCCCCGTCTAAAACATACGTGATATATGGAATAAGAGGCAATTTTATATTAAAAATTACTAATTTGATTCGGACAGCAGAGTCAAGTCAAGCAAAGTCTTCTGCCCTTTCTAGCCCCACTCTTGACCTGCAACCAGTTTTATTTCCCATGTTTTGTCTGTCCTGTCCACTGTTTTTGTACTGTCCTTTTTTCCTTTTACCCATTTTTAGGTACCGTGACAAACCTCAATTTTGATTTAGGCATTTTTAGTACGCAACAAAAATGCTAGTCCACATTCAGTTATCCATCCATTATCTAAATATATAAAACAAAGTCGTGTTAGTTACACCACATAACTCAAGATCGGCTGGACCGATGTTAGTTATCTCTTTTTTTAATTCTTCTCCGCTACGAATAGTAGAAAAAAATAAAATCGGATAAGTTATGGAATAACAATAAATAAATTAATTAATTTTACGAATGCGAAATCATGTGGTGCCATCTGTTGACAAAACTACGCATCATTTTACATTGAATTCGTGTCAGTTCAAGAAATTCCGATCTTGAGGTGAACGAGGAGATGCATAATCAGGCTTTGATCTAGATCGAAGATATGTTACCTCATCAAAAAATGTTGTATATCACAAAGTGCTTTAACATGCAGTATCGCAATGTTACTAGAGAGATGAGGCCTAATGTGTAAAACTGCCATTCTTCTTTCGCAATGGCAAGCTATAAAACATTTCTGTATTTGCAAAAAAAGTTGTATTAATGTTATTACCTTAATGATAGAATAAATAAAACGAACCCTACCTGGTGGTTAAGTTTACGACTTCACACCCGGGTCGTGTCAGGAGTCAGGACCTATGAATGTTTCTTTCTAATGCGTATCAAAGAAAGAGAAAGAAAGAGAGATTTTCTTTCTGAGACAAGAAAAGATTTTCTTAGTTAAAATTTATTTATGAAAAGAAGTTTCTTAATATAAAAAATTATGTATCCCCTATGTACATATAAGAATTTAAAAAAAGGCTAATGTGGGGCATGGTACAAAATAACTATACTATGACGGTTTTACGAATACGTACGACCATAGATTTATGTTTGTTCATCATATACCATAAAATCTAAGTTCCATAGGCCTCTAAATGGGGCATGCCCCTTTAGATATTTGATGCACGGGGCAGACTGATATTAATGTGTAATAGGGTGACATAAATCTACGGCTATTGAATTCTCATAGCATTTGAAAAATGTGGGAACAATCAGCAAGCGTCCAAGCGGTGACCGCAGCGACCACGATAAGCGATCGATTTGACGTTTGAAGTGACCGCCCCTTACGTTCTACTCTCCTAGTACATTGTGAGCGTATCGATAGTTTAATTCGATTGGACCGATTTGTGATCGGATTTTAATCGAATTTGATTCGGTAAGCTTAAAAATCCTTGCTAAGTGAAAATAAATAAGTATTCTAGAAATAACTAGAAAAAAAGCTTCTACTTCGCCTAGACTTCTAGACATTATACAACAATTCTGGTCGTAAAAAAAAAGACATTATTTATAATAGCTTGTATATTCTGTGGCAATACATAGGTTTGCCACATACATATATCGATAAACGATAAACATAGGGTTGTCACCTGCACTGTCATTAGAGACAGGTACGATTAATCAGTGGTTCGAGTCACGCCCGTTTAAAAATGAACGTATTTTTACCTGACAAACACAGGGCAAGGGCGGTCTGAATTTTGAAAAGGTATGCTAATTTCGTCGTGTATTTTGTTCATCTTTATGGTTTTTCTCTAATTTCCGGCCTTATATGTTACTGAGTTAAATGTTTACTTATAAACACGAAAACTGTTCATATAAGACTTTTGTTTACGAACTCGGTATTTTGACAGTACCAAGTTCATATATCCTAGAAGAAGTTATGACTGTAAAAAAGTATCCAAAATTATTCAAAACATTAAAAGAAACTCGAATCACCTTCCTAGAAGTTATAGATCACTGCCGTGTGGCTTGTAGGGAAAGAAAATTAGATTTTTAAAGGCTGGGTATACTTTTATTGACGATAAGTTTTGACAATAACACAATTTGACATTATGATAATTAAAATGACATTTGCATGCCTATTATATGGCTGATAGTGCGGTTTTTTATAATTAATCAATATACAACTTTTCTTTGCAAATAAACAATGTATTATTAATCATAACAATCAAATATACATTATTTATAATTTTCTTAACCTACATGGTAATAACAAATAATTAGAAAGTAATAAAAATAAAATTAAAACAAACTTACAACGTTTGGTCCATGTGGCGGTGTACCTTAAACGCTGGCAGCATTTTCTCGCTGTATTGCGATACTTATTCGTTAAGCGAGGAAAGCACCAGCTCTGAGATCACCAGTTCTATCTACCTGGCGCCAACTTAAATCTTTAATTAGCGCCTGTGCACTTGAACCCCACGGCCCATGAATCTACTCCAAAGGGAACAAAATCGATGTTGGAGGAAAGGCTCTGAAATTTGAGCGTATTATTTTCCGCCTGCTCTGCGGCCGCCCCAGTTTTTTGCTTGTTCGAGGGAGTCTTTTACTAGATTTTAACTGAAATTAAGGTAATTGAAACACAATTAAAATACAATAAATGTTTTTTTACGTAAGTCATATTTAATAATTTATAGATTACTAACTTATAATAAATAATATTTTACCAAAACAGTTCGTTAATATACTTGATGTGTCCAGCTGTTTCTCTTGCGTTATGTATGATGGTATGTGTTCCGTAAATCGTATTTAAAAGAATGAAGAGTATTGCCGGTTCTTCTCGTCCGTTCTCCCTTTATTTGAGGTCTAATATATAACTTTAGAACAGTGTTAGGGCCTAGTGGCTTCAGCATAGACTCTCATCAAGGTCGTAGCTTCGAACCGGGTGTGCACCAATGGCATTTCTATGTGCGCATTTAACATTCGCTCGTATGGTGAAGGACAACATCGTGAGAAAGTTGCATAGACGGCTAAATGTCGACGGTGTGCGACAAATTATCATGACACAGATACAGAAATCTGAGGCCCAGACCTAAAAAGGTTGTAGTGCCACTAGTGTGTTTTTATATAAATTTAGAAGCTCGTCACTGAGGGAGCGTAAAGTATTACGTCACGCAATTTTTGGAGATTATTGACACACCCCTCCCCCCATGTAACGCGCCGTAACGTAAATGCCGAAATTTCCGATCAAATTGATCGATAATTATTTGGAAAACATGCCAAGTCGTCAGTTACGGCAATTAAATTATAACGCATCACAGCACCAAGTCGTAGTCAAATTGGCCTCTTAATTTGTTTATAGATTTTTTATTTTATTTTTTTATATGGCTCTGGCACGGTTTGTGCATTAGCCAGCGTCAAGTATAAGATTTTTTATAATTCGTGCTTGCCTTAGAACTTCGACCGTGTCCTCCATGTACGGTTTGGTTTAGGCACTCGCCCGGTACCGCACAACCCTCCCAAAGGCCGACAACAAATTTAAATTAAATTAAAACTTGCCCTCGAACCGGGAATCGAACCCGGTACCCCTCACCTAGCTGCCACTTAATAAGACCGCTAGGCTATGATATGCTAGGCTATGCTAATTCTTTTGGGGGCCCCCAAAAGAATTATAGATTTTTAACCTGTAAAACTGGGAAGTTAAGATTACAGATAATAATAGATTTATTTTCAATTCCCACAGTTACTACTAATACGATAGAAGTAGGTATACAGATAATTCTACAATTGAAAGTACATTTACCAGTTCGTAATAGGGGGAAAACAGGGAGGAGGCTCACCTGATGTCAAGCGATACTGCCTCGCCGCCTATGGACACATTGCCAGAAGGCTCGCGAGTGCGTTGCCGGCCTTTTAAGAATTTTCTTGAAGGAACAGTCGAATTGGTTCGGAAATACTTCGGTGGGCAGCTGGTTCCACACAAGTAATTTGTATGACTCAAAACTTGGTTAAAAAGAGTGGCCAAGAGATTCTTGCCAGTTATTCTTGTTCCGTGTACTTCCTTAATTTGCGAACTGGTAGTAAATGTAAATTTAGAATTTAACATGTTTTCTATTGGCGTTCATAAGTGTACTTTGTTATCTATATGAATAATGTTATTTTGAATATGAGTTTAAAGATTTTAATCCTACCAAGTATATTCTTGGTAATAAAAGATAGTTGTATATAATATATACATAAAAATCCACTCTATAAACATAGAGTATAGAACAAATTGACATAAACAACAAACAAAAACAAATGAACATCTCACCAGCAATTTATTTGGTTGGGTGTTAAATAACACGAGATACTAATTATCTAGAGTGTCGGGGACTTCATTGAAACTCCTAGTAGTTTGCTCGAAACGCGTCTAAATATTTTTATAAAAAATTTAAAGTTTTGTGTAATTATTAAAATTTGTAAAAATCCGCATTCTACTTTTCTATTGGTTATAAGAGATGTGACGTTCACTTAAAAAATGTTTTTAATTATCGATTTTAATAATCTTTTATTTATTTATCGATTATTTCTCATTTTGAAATTTAAAGTTATAGAATAATAAATTGAAATTAACTAATTTCGTTATAGATTATAGGGTTCCGAAATTTTTGAAATTATGATACCTATGTCTGTATTTTCTAATTAGTACTTTATTTCATTGTTTCAACTTTCTATATTATGAATTTTTACTAGAATAAAGTGTTTACTTTAATATCAAAAAGTACCAAAACCAATCAGAGCACCCCACTATCCACGTGGTCTTGTCTGTCTTACCCCTAGAGTTATATAAATAATCGGAGGCAGGAAGACAGCCCCACCCGCTTAACAAGCACAGCATTATGAAAGCTGTAGGGCTGAGGCTGGTCGCCGAAGGCACCAAAAACGAGGTTGCGGAGGTTGAATAAAATGCCTGTGCTTTGGTACGCAAGGGTGGAGGGCTCATTTCCGTACGCCGGAGCTGTCCACAAAAAAAATATTATTTAATTGGTTAGGTTAGAGTTAGTATATGAATATTTGGTCGCCGAATTTTCAATTATTTTTAATATTAAAATCGAATACAAAAATCGATTTTCACTTTTAAAAAAATGATTATTTTTCAATCCTATTAATTTTATAAACTTAATCGGCCATTTTGAATGTGGTTTATGCTAGACTAGCGGTAATTAGTTTTACAGTGCAAAGTTTACTTTATAAATCTTTATAAAATTTTTGACGCGTTCGGAGCAAAACTCACTGAGGTGTTCCAATGAAGGTCCTCCGAGACTCCTAAATAATTAGTATCGTCAAAAAGTGCGATGGTATTCAAAACTGTTACCATTTATTTCTTCACGGAGCGCAGACGCCATTCAAAATACCTTTATAGAAATGCTAAAATCTTTTGAAATTAAATGAACATACATTTAAAAGAAATTAATGAACATTAACAAATTTAATAAAAAGCCCGGCGATATTGACGGATTAAGATTGGGCTAATTAAAAATGGCGTCTGCTAATCCAACGTTGGCTGTAATCCGACAGAATTCGGATTGCCTTAAAAATTGCGTTAAAAATATTGTTTTTAAACCCAAACTATGTTTACTTCTAGCAGGTAAAGTAACAGAATAAAGAACATAAAACCTACCGTATTCAATAGTCACTTTTTTATGTAATAGGAGGCAAACGGGCAGGAGGCTCACCTGATGTTAAGTGATACCGCCGCCCGGACACTCACACTGCCAGAAGGCTCGCGATTGCGTTGCCGGCTTTTTAAGAATTGGTAAGCTCTTTTCTTGAAGGACGCTAAGTCGAATTGATTCGGAAATACTACAGTGGGCAGCTGGTTCCACATAGTGGTGATGCGCGGCAAAAACTGCCTTGAAAAACGCTCAGGTGTGGAATGACCTGTGTCATAAAAAATACATCCTTTTTAATAGGTAAAGCCCTGACCTCATGGTCGATGACCTTACAACTGACATTGATAAACGGGATGCATCAATGATTTCATGAAACTGAATATCCTAAGTCGGGGTCTGATAATAGAGTAAGCTTCTACTTTTATCCACAACGAAGTTATAGGGGGATAATGGTCTCAACTGCTTCTAGAAATGGTAAATGTAATAGAACAAAAAAAAAAAAAACTTAAACTAAAAGCAGACAGACATATCATGTATTACTAACAAAACACACTCACTGCATAATAATAATAATAAAAAAAGTAAAATAACAAAAAATTATGGAAAAATAGGAATAACATTTTAAGTGTGTTATGTGTGTGTGTGTGTGTGTGGTAGTTACTGGCCCTGGAATAATGCTGTGGAGCACACGTATTGCACAGCGCTGGTCATTCTGCCAGAGACCACAACGTTTAGTTTGCGCCTCAGACGCAAAAAAAAAAAAAATAATGTTATAATAATAATAGTAGAATAAAATATACAGTAAAAATCAACAAAGTAAAGAACTCTTGGAAGGTGTGTGTGTGTAAAAGTATATTGTAGTAATATAAATAAATGTTACTAAAACTTGTAAGAAATAGATAAATAATTTTTTTTGGGCGGATTAAAAACTAGAATTTCGTGAGATTTTTGTTATATAAAAAAAACTAATTATATTTTATTTTACTTACCTTAAATAAGTTAACTAACTAATCCACCGTTAAAGATAATTGAAGATTCTGAGATGTTTGTAGATATTGAACCAGCTTCTAAAATTTACTTATTATGTGTACTCATTTACCTAAAAGTGTTTAAAAATGTGTCCTAGAGTATGTGTCAAATTTTAGTATAATTTATTTAAAATTCATATTTGTCAGTCTGACGCCACACTTATCAGTAAATACTAAATCTTTACGCAGTTTTTACAAACAGATTCTGAGAATTTTAGTATGGATTATAGTTCAGAAAGCGAACTTCGCTTCGCTTGTTCTGTGAAACGAGAAAATCAAAGCAACGGCAGGACTTCCAGTCTTTTTATTTGACATCCTCTTTGTCTTCGCCTCCGATAATCCATTCTAATAAATACGTCTTTAATTTGGTCTTTTTTGTTCCAAAATTACGTTCAGTCATCAGTTTTATACTGTTAAACTGTTTATACTGTTTGTCTTAAACGAAACGAAATTCGTCAAATTGTGTTTACGCCGTCATAAGACTCTGAATGCTTTAATTAAAACATCTTAAAACAGTATAGTCGACTGAATTACTTTAACAAAATCACAACATATCATTTCTAGCACTCGCACTCACTCACAGCCCGTTTGCAAATTAATACAATGTCACCCTGGAGGAGTTAAGTCAGACTTGACATATTTGGCGAATGGCAATCTACCAATCTGTTAGAAAAAGTTGATAACCCTATGTGCGGGCAATGTAAAAATGGCGCTATAAATCCGGCCCGGGCCGACGAGCGGTCGCGGCCCGCCGTAAATTATGGCGCGAACGGATGGCACGGCGCGGGGAGCGGCGGCCGAGACATCACAATGTCGAGAAAATACAGACTATAACTACGTATATATACTAAACTCTATTGTTTATACAGGTTTTCTTGTCTTTGATACAAACCAAACATGTAATTGAGTACTTGCGAACTTGCTGTGAGTTGTGGTTTGTTGAATTAATGTTGTTTTTAATATATTTATTTCTCCTCATAAGATTTGAAATAATGGAATTATGTACGTTACAAATAAATGCGGTCGAAAACCATTTTGCAGTTTTACCGGGTGATTAAAATAATAAATAGTAGACTATTTAAACCAAATAAATATATCGATAAAAATTCCCAAGAATAATTTATTTACTTGCTCCAAACATCACTACTTGTTACTTTATTATTTAACCCGAGTACAAGAAACCATTCCCAAACAGATGGGACCGACAAAAGCCAACCGCATCGCATTGCGGGCGTTCGCCAGGCGGCAGAGTACCAGGATCGCAGCGATGTCGAGATATCGTGGTACGGGGTGGGGTGGAGGTAAAATGCGCGGGTAATTGGTTCGCGCCGCCCGAGGCGAGCCCGTATCGCGCTTTACCGACGTCGCCCCCGGTGTCGGGTGTGGACTAATGGAGGCGTGGAGTCGAGTTATTTTATTTTTTAAAGTGGTGTTTGTGATCCAGGATTAGGGAATGTTGAAACGATATTTGTGGCTAACGTTTTGCACGACTGCGATATACATTTTGTTATTGTTTTAACAGTACGAGCGTACTCACATAAGAGTATTTAATATGAAAGTTTAAAGGATAAATCTATACCTACGAATACTTTTAAATAACAATAAAACGATTTTTCTCTAGAAGGATATTTATTTTGGTTTCTAATGATCAGTAAACATATTGAGCAAAGATAATAGTTTTTACGGAATACTCAACAATCCAGTCTTCAATTTCAAACAAAACAAGAACAAGTCGTCTCCACGCCAGTCGGCGGCGGCTGTTTGTCATGGCACCGCGAGTTATAGCTATGTCATGTCGGCCACCGGCGCGCCACTTTATACATCCGACGCTACCGCCCGCCACGAGTATACGATGTATACGTTGTATAGCACGAGACCTTATACGTGGAACGAACGCGTCTGTTTTTATCAAGGAAATATTTTATACGTAGATTTAAACATATATATATATATATATATACTTTAATCTAATAATATATTTATCATTGACTTGAGGTACTTTAAAAAGATTTATTTTTTACCACTGATTTTTGACAAAATTGCTTGCGTACTTCAATGTAGTTGACGTTGACAATTTACAAGTCTGAGCTAGTGTTAGGCAATAGGTAAATCATAATCTATAACGTGTAATGATGTCGATTTCGTTTTTTTTAGTCTCTGTAAACGAATACTTTGTCGAAGAAAAGATGATATAAATATTGAAATAATTCAAATATTATTTAGTAAACATTTTGACATTTCTTTACGAGTTATATTTCGATAGTTTGTTAGCGGTAGTCCCGCTCATTAGTGGTGTATTTCGAGTGGCAGTGGGCCGCATGAAATACGATGTCGTCATGTCACGGATACGGTAGTGATGTGCTCGTTTAAGACCCATATCGATTGTATTGAATCTTAAACAGGAAAGTTCGGTAGTGTTTTCTGATTTTTAACCAAATATTAATTTAAGTAAAATATTAAAGTGTTATTTGTTATAAATATATATTGATTCTTTATATTGTTCTCTTTTGTTACATTTTTAAATATAAATTGTCTCTGCACAAAGACACAATTTAACATTACGAACTAGCCTAACTTAAGCCTAATAAGTAATTTATGTCTAACCTAATTTATTAATAAGGATATTTTATATCAAAAAGTGTCAAATAACACTACGTACAGTCTCTATTAAAGAGGAGATACTCTGTTATCGTGTAGCATTTTATTTGCTACTTTTAACTTAACTTAGGCAGGAGATAATTAGAAATATCTTCTCCGTTGTGGGGTTTAATACAATATTAATAAATACATGAACCAATCTGTCCACACGTCATTAATGAAACGTCGTTCAAAGTAAAGAAAACACGCTATAAATCAAGCGTACAAGAAAATTTCAAAGCTCTGCCACTCATTACGAGCATTCCCCGCTCGTCACGAAACGACGGCATATAACGCTAGTGATGCGAATAATCTCTGTGATATTTCTTTGTGAAGCGTTTTAAATCGATATTTAGGCCTTTACGTACGCTTGGATCTCTTTGAATTGCAATATTTTAAGTTGATTTATAACATGTAAGTTTGTAGATAGTAACGGTGACTCCAGAGCTAGTGCTACAGCAAGGAAATGCTGCCAGCATAAACTAGCAAGCAGCAAGGTACCCCAGGGATTTTTCGAACTTTAGTTTTCTATTTATCTATTTTTACTTATTATTAATACTATGTATGTACCAATACCAAATATAATTAATTAAAAGCTTCGTTAAGCGTTAAAAATTCGACTTCAAAAAACCCTAAGAGAGGTTTCAACGTTTTGTAATCTATCAAAATTTTTCTTGCATTTTCTCTCCTATTAAAAAGAATTCCAAGTTACATCACTGCACAGCGCACAGTTACTCGTGCTTACAGACTTCCGTCGTTAAGACTGTGACCCCTCGCTCCTTAGACCTTCTCAGAAAGAATGGATACTTAACGAGCTACGAAAGGTTAATGATACCTGGGGTATGGGGTGGATTTATTAACTGTCAAAAATCAAAGGACCCCTTTTTATTCTGAATATCGGTTTATATGAAAGGATCTGATTGCGATTTCAATTCATTATTCAATTTGGTTGACCACTATTAGATACCGCACTTGCACTTATATTCACTACACTAGGTTTTTGAAGTTTGAAGATTGCCCCAGCATTCACATGGCTATGTTTTGATAATTAAACGTAATATATATTACGCCGTGCCGTATATTATAATATGCCGTGCCTGTACACATTCACCAAATACGTACAGTATAAGCGTCTAGCTTTTGCTCAAAAATCCTTTTGAGTTTACATTACCTGCATAACATAGGATATATTATGTACTTATTTCCACAATATAAAAATGCATATCCATTATCCATCCAACATATTCTACTATAGACGCAGGCTTATACTTTTTATTACTAGTACTTTGACCACATGTGAAGGCCGTAACTCAACTGCCTAATGGAGAAAGAGCAGTTTTACTGCTGTTTTGTGTCGTTCAAGCCAAAATAATTATAGTTTTGACAGTAAACAAAGGGAGTATATCGCGTTGCAAGAATTGAACTTTGAGCCATACACTTGGTTGCCTAATGAATCCATACTTAATGGATACGCCGACTCTGGTAGAGTATTTTTTTGAACAAGGGGCAAACGGGCCGGAGACTCATCTGATATTAAGCGACGTTGCCCATGGATACTCAATGGGGCTTGAAAGTACGATGTTGGCCTTAAAAACATCTTATATTCATCCCCCAATCCAACCTGTCGCAAATATAAGTTCTGATGTGGAAAGGTTGTTGACTGCTGTACAGTTCGTGAGCTCCACTCAAACAGAGCCTCCGAGGTATGAAGTACTTACAAGTAATTAGTACCCATTACCGATTTGATGACCATTCACTTTCCGAGGAGGTTGATGACCATGATCATTCACTTTCCCTTAGCGTTGCGTAAGGATGTGGGGTCTTTTTGCATCTTCTACCGCATTTACCACGGAGAGTGTTTAGAGTAGTTATTCGGAATAATACCTACAGCTAAGTTTCATCATCGGACGTCCGTTGTTTCACAATTGAGAGTTTAAGGCAGTTGTTGCCGCCACCACTATGTGGAACCAGCTGCCCACTGAAGTATTTCTTAATCAATTCGACTAGGGTCCTTCAAGAAAAAAGCTTACTAATTCTTAAATTTTATCTTAAAATTAAATCGCGCAGCCCGGACATACAACGACCAATAGTAAAGCCTTGACCTGTTTAAGCAGTCGCGGAATATGATTAAAAGGAGTATTAAGAAATCCATAGCGCAAAATCACCTGCATCATAAGCATACCCCACATACACACCTTCACGTACTTACACTCACTCTTACACCATCACACAACACAGCCAAATTAGGTATTATTTAGTTGAATGTATAGAATATTTTTTTTTTGTTGTTTGTTTGATTCTGTAAATTTTTTAACCTTTTTGTAGTAAAATGTATTATGTATTCCATCTCTGGCTATATTTTCAGTGTATCTGTTTGTTATTATATATAATTTATGTTAGCTGTAGGATTACGAAATAAATAAATAAATAAATAAATAAATAAATTTGCGAACCCTCCGGTATTGACAGTGTCCATGGGCGGTATCACTTAACATCAGATGAGCGTCTTGCCCGTTTGCTATATCAAAGTTATAACGCTAGCTAGGTTGAATCTAGACAAATAATAGAAACGCCGTATGTATACATCAAAGGAATATATTTCAAAAAGCTCAGCGGAGCGTATTGAATGTGGCCGGAGATGTCTTCGACTGCGGGGCCTTCTTGACTACGTTATAGTGATGGGGTTTATATAGTATCGATAAAAATTTAGCATGATTTGGATCGTCTTTGAAAACGACCGTGAAAACAGCGGAGTGGAACTCTTTGACACCTTCAATCTTTCCTAAATACATAAATCAAGCGGCGGCTAAATACAGGCTCTCCGATAAGCCGTATCTCACTTAACATCAAGTAGGATTGTGGAAAGTCGTCTTCCAGTTCTGTATTATAAAAAATACTTAATTCAAAAAGAAATACTTTTTAATTATCGAATTATAATTTGTCAGACTGCATTGTCCTGAGTGACTCAGACAATCTCATTTTTAAATAGCTCAGAAATCGTATATAGAATTGATATGATATAGAACCTTTATCTTTATATATATTGATATTAAACTTCATATTTTGTTAAACTAGTGGCTCTCTCATCCCTGAGGCTGTAGGACTTGGCTGAGGACCTATGAACTTTCAGTTTATTTACTAATATACTACCCTCACTCACCGGGTAGGAAAACATTGTCACAAAACCGGCATGTCTTAAACCCAAAATGTCGACGACGTGTGTCAGACACAAAAGGCAGATCACTTTACTATTAGAAAAAAACAAATATACATGATGTCTGATGCCAAATATCGTAGTGTCACTTAAGCGTAAAATTTTCATCAATATCAGGGTAGAGAGAAGGGTTGGCCTAGTGGTTTCAGCGTGCGACTCTCATCCCTGAGGTCGTAGGTTCGATCCCCGGCTGTGCACCAATGGACTTTCTTTATATGTGCGCATTTAACATTCGCTCAAACGGTGAAGGAAAACATCGTGAGGAAACCGGCTTGCCTTAATCCCAAAAAGTCGACGGCGTGTGTCAGGCACAGGAGTCTGATCACCTATTTGCCTAATAGATTAACAAATGATCATGAAACAGATACAGAAATCTGAGACCTAAAAAGGTTGTCACTGATTATTATTAATGTCAGGGTAGATTTTGATATAAACATCGATAATCTATAGCATTTGACCCATCACTATCTCCCCTCGCATGCAATCAGTCGGGGCGAGCCGCGGCGACGCCGACGCCACTCAACGCGCCTCGTAAACGTT